GACCCAGCTGAGTATGGACTGAAACCTCCAGTAACTGTGAGCTAAATAAACCTTTCCTTCCTTCATTTTGAGTGTCGGGTATTTGTCCCAGCAACGAGAGAAGAGTAACTAAGACAGATGGTCACAACGCTACTAGACCATATCATCTGTTATAGTCAACATCATATATTTGATCCATCACTGACCGGAACACCATTGGGCAGCACATAGCTGCAGTTTCTTAATTCTCCCATGACAACCGCCCCCATATTGGATGACATTTTTAAAAAACAGAAATGTATTCTATTACAGTTTTGGCAGCTAAAATGTAAAAATCAAAGTGTCAGCACTGGGTTCTCTCTGAAACGCTGGGTAGAATCCTTCCTGCCTCTATCAGTACTGTTTGTGGCTATTATTAATGTGTGTGTGTGTGTGTGTGTGTGTGTGTGTTCTTTGGCCACATTGTTCTGAAACGTGTTCTATCATAAGGAATTACTGTTGTGTCCCAGACTCATTCTCACTTTTTAGAAGAAGGTCTTGAGGGTTGATCTTATGAGCTTGATGGCTTATGAAATAGAGCATCTTGGAGGTTCCCACAGCATACTTGTGACTGTATTTGGGTCACAGTGATGACCCTGGGGACTCTATGTGGTCCCTGGTGCCTTCCTTACTCTCTGGCTCTTCTCTCTATTTGCTGTCCTGGACTCGGCCGTGTTCTGGCCCCTTTCTCTTCCACTGCATTAGTACTGAGCATGGACTGACCCCTCCGAAGCCATGAACTGGAATAAAGCTCTCTTCGAGGTATAAACTCTCAGGCACAAAACTGGTCTCCCTCATGAAGATCTGAGCAATAGAAGGATAGTTGTCACGCTGAATTGGGCCCACAATATCCAATATGCTCTTGTAGTAGCTTGATGCTCTCCAGTAGGCCTGTATTTCCAAATGAGGTCAGATTCTGAGGTTCCAGGAAGATCTTGACTTTTTGCAGGGGGCTATCTATACAGCTCTGAGGCACCTAAGCATCATTTTCTTTGGATTTTTAATGGAGTGGAGGCAGCTGACTGAATCTGTAAATTTACGTTTATGTTTCTATTCTTTCTGTCATACTGTAACATACTGGGAAAATATTGTTTCTTCACATTTATCTTTTTTCTTTGATGTTCTTCTCTTTCCCTTCCAAGACTTCAATTATATGTATCACAGATCACTTAAGCTTTGTTTATATTTTAGAGAATATTTAGATTAAATAATTATTATTAATGCAAGCATTTTGAATTTTTCTTCTTCTAAATTCCTCTGGTAAACCTACCTACTGATGATTCTTAATTTTAGATAAGCAAGATTTAGTTGTGTAATTTCCACTGGATACTTCTCTAGTCTGTATTTCTGAGTTTGATCTTTGCATTTTTTAAATTTATAATCAGTATATGTTCATTTACATCCTTGAGAGTAGCTGTAAAAGTTGCTTTAAAATTCTAGTCTGCTGACTCTTAACACACTGGGTCCTTGTGAGATCGCTCTCCTTTGAGCAAATGATTGGCCTCTTTTCTTGATACTCTTCATATTTCTTGGTGTTATTTCAGATTGTATGGTGGATACTGGGAGGGCAATGTTGTAGAGACTTTGGATTCCGGTAAAGGCCCCTAAAGACAGTTGCCACTTCTGGTTTTAGCAGGCAGCTAACTTCATTGTACTCCACCTGAAAATTCACGCCGTAGGTAGTTGCTCCAATATCAGTAGAGTTACTCTTTGACTGGATCCTCCATGAGTATCTGTGCCGTTCATACGTCAGTCAGACTTGGGCCAGGCGCAGATACATCCGGGCTATCTCCCTTTAGCCATCATTCTGCAAGAACGGTCTTCACTTTCCAGCAACCTCCTTTCAGAACTTAAAAGACCTTCTGCTAAGTTTTAGAACATTTCAATTTTCCTGCAGAGCTTATAAGAAGTTCAGCTAAGAGAGAAGCTTACTCAGTCACTCCAGGTGCAGAACTAACCTGGATGATTTGAGCAGAAAATATGTCAGCTGGGGATGGACCTTGAACATGGCAAATTGTGTCATGACAAGAAAGCACCAAATCAAAGGGGAAAAAGTATTTGACCTAGAAAATAAAATGTCATGGAGAAAACAAAACTATTCCAATTGGAGTACGTGAATTTATGTTTTTTCTTTCCTACTTCTATGCCATTGGTCAATTAACTCAAAATTTTTCATGCTGTGGTAAAAATGAAAGTGGATGTAACACTCACAAGCCTGAGAGACCCATCTGGGAAACCATTAGAAATGGAAAGAGATACGTAGTTAAGTCTCATCCTCTGGCACGCACAGAACCCACCAGCACCTCTGAGTTCAGGTAGGAGGAAAAGTTCAGAGACAAAAGGCCAGTGTCAAGCCAGGCATGGAGGCACACGCCGGTAGTTTCAGCACTCAGGAGGCTGAGGCAGGAGCATCATTGCAATTTCAAGACCAGCCTGGGCTACAAAGCAAGCTCAAGGCCAGCCTGGACTGCATAGTGAGACCCTGTCCCAAAAGCACCACACAAAAAAAGCTATATGCACATGTCATTTCTCATGTTCTTTCTGCTGCTGGGAAGAACCGAGTCAACTGGTGACATCTGGCTAAAAAAGAGCCACAGAAGTATTCTCTGTAGCCAAACACTGAGCTAAAATGTTGTTGCAATGGAAAAGAGGGAGAATCAATACCTGGCACAACCATAGTGTCCCAGACAGAACAGGCCCCCCTGCAACAAGCAGACCCAGCAAATTTGTGCCCGACATCAGTCTAGGCAAGCAGGAACTCTTACCTGCTATAGCCTGTCTTTTTTTTTTTTAAAGATTTATTTATTTATTTATTCATTCATTGTTTTTTTTGTGTGTGTGGCCCACTCAGCCCACCAGGGGGCGGGGCTGACTGGCATGTGGTGCTGGGGGATTGAACTGCTGTCCTTGTGCTTTGCTAAGCTTGTTCTCAGTAGGTGCTTTAGACTACTGAGCCATCTCACCAGCCCTATAGCCTGTCTTCCGATCAGGTACACAAAGAATGGCTTCCTGCTTCAAAAATCCCTCTACTCTTTGCAATGCAGAAGTGATGTTTAAAACAAAATAGTCAGGCTCCCTCCCCTAGGAAAACTCCCCGCCTACAAATTGCACAGAGTTGCCAACTCAAGCCCTCCAAATTGGCACACCAAATTTTTCTCCTATGTGTGAGTGGTGCTATATTGAAAGAAGCATTGTGGGGGAGGGGTGCTTTCCAGGCAAATCAAGGTGCACCTGTGACAATGACAATGACAACATCATGTAGAAAGTCATCACAACTTTATTCATCCACCAGGAACACAAAGAAAACATTAGGTTTCCTTTCAGTTGCTGGTCTCAGCTTTTCAAACTGCATAAATGAAATCAATAACATCATCAGATACCACCTTGCAAAGAACCTTCATGCTATTCACCAGCTTATTTTTAACTAAATATTCTTAAATAAAATCAATTATATCTTTATAGACATAGATACATTCTGCAGAAATTATCTCCTAGTTCCTTTGAAAATTAAGGGTCAATACAAAGCTTGATTAGAATTTAATATGTTTGGGATAAACCTGATAAGGAAGGCTTTATTTTTTACTTATTTATTTTTTTGGCGGAACTGGGGATTGAACTCAGGCCCTTGCACTTGCCAGGGAAGTGCTTATTCTACTGAGCCATCTCCCCGGCCTCAAAGAAAGCTTTGAATTTAATTTTTTGTTTGTTTGTTTTTCTATATTTTAGAGAAGGGTCTACAGGGTGCTCAGGGTCTCATTACTAGATGAGACTTGTAGTGATCCGCCTGCCTACAGCCTCCCAAGAGCTGGGATTACAGGTGCGTGCCATCATGCCCAGTCTCAATTGCCATCTCAGTGCACCCCAGGGGCAGGGCTAGCACACAGGCCTGGGGATTGTAACTCTGGCCCCTGAGCCTGCTTGCAGGTGCTTTAATCTGCTGAGCTATTTGGCCAGACCTTATCAACCTTTTTTTAGGTTAAGCAACATGAAGTAGAAATGTAACATGAAGCAGTTAAGGCCAGACAGCTACTAAGGTTTCCCGTCTCCTCAGCTCCTTCTTTTTCTGGCCAACCAGACCTCAAAGCTGCCTTCCTGCATAATCATTAAGACATTCACAAGCAAGATAATTTACTAAGAAATCCCATTCCAGGAACCACTGTGCTTATTGAGTGAGATAAATTAAATTTGTGTCATGAAAATACGCAACAAACATTGCATTTAGCTTCTTGGCTCCCATTTTAATTAGTGACTCATAGCTCCTACCCTGAGGAAATGTATGATGTAAACATCAATACAAATAAATTGCTGGATTGGCTAAGTGAAATGAATCCCGTTCAGCTCAAACTGCTCATTACATTCAAAGCCATATTTCAGAGAAAAGCAAGGGAATATAAATAAGCAAAATATAATGACAGAAGGTTGGTGTATTTGCAGTCACAGCAGCTTGGGTTCAATGGCTTGGAGTCTGAAGTGCTAGACTAGGGGACAACTGGAAGGGGCTGTGAGCTTCTGACATAAAATTGATGCTTTCTTTGTAAATGTCTCCTGCCTCCCAATGGATGTCTTGGCGAGGTGGACTCTGGGAAAATACCTGGCTCCAAGATTTGGTGCTTAAGGACACATAGCAAGCCCTGCACAGTGATGAGGCCCAGACTAGGAAGAAGTTAGCTCTGGCCGCATGAGACTCCCTCAGCAATGAGGAGTTAGGTCGGGCAGAGGCTGCAGGACTTGTGCTGAGGGTGAGGACCTTGCTTGCAGCTTCTGCACCCTGGTGCTGTCTGGCTGAAACAAAGCTCCCAGAGTTGGCAATAATGGGCATCACACCACACTCCAAGAAGATGAAGCAGCCGCTGGCACCGAATTGTTCGCAAGTGTGCCAAGCCTTTCCGCCAGCAGGGTGAACAGCAGCTGAAGAAGGAAGGTGAACAACACCCTGAGGTCTTCGGGTCTCTGCCACATGATGTGCCTCTACAATAGTTAGGGATGCTGCATAGCAAAGATGCAGGACATGCACTCTAGGATGCTGCAGCATCTGGCCAGAGCAGGCAAAGTTAATGACAAGTGCTTTGAATCAAGCGTACAACTGTCTGCAAGACCTCTTCTCTCGAGGGGCTGGCGTCCACCACATGGCATGCTGGGTTCTCCATCCTGCGGTATGACATTTCTACCCTGAGACAGGAAGAAGCAGAAGAGTTGGTTGGCCTTGTTTCCCACGCAGTTGTCCCCACAAAGTTGATCTTCAGGCTCTGATATAAACAGCCTGCAGCAAGATCTCCCCTTACTCCTCCCACTGCTCCCTTCAACAACAAGCTTTGCCCACAGGAGATGTTTAACAGGCTCTGTTCACTACATGATTTTAATGGCTGGCATTTATTGGATGCCTGTGATCTGCCAAGCCTTAGCATCCTATCCAATCTTTCTCATTTCATTCTCCAAGTAGCCTTAGGAGGGGCTCCAGTGCCATTTCTCATCTTGTAGAGAAAGCAGGGCAGGCTCCAAGAGTGCAAATGGACAGTTTCTCTCCCATGTATTTCTCCAGCGATGTCCACAGAGGCTACGGTCCCGGGCACACACATATTGTCCCCCTGACCTTCTTGCAGTACTTCACCAAAATCTTCAACTCCCTGCACCATTGGCTGGTGACTAACTCCATTTCCTGCAAGCACAGATGCCCATGGAACGCAGCTAGGTGGCCTAGTGGTTAAAGCAGGGGCCAGAGGCCAAGTCACCTGCACGGCTACCTACCAGCCAAGTGAGATACACTCCTTATCCTCTCTGATGCCTCCCTCTCTTTGCCACCTGCAAAATGAGGGCTGAAATCATACCTTCCTTGTGGATTTGCAATAAGGTTTAATTGAACTAATAGAAATAAAATGCTTATCCTGCGTTCTTTATGTACAATTAAATAGTTTGGGGTTTTTGTTTAGCTTTGTGCTACTTGGGACTGAATCCCTGGCCTTTGCACTGAACTACAACCCCAGCTCTTTATTGATTTTTTTTAAGACAAATTCTTCCCTAAAAGTTGCTCAAGCTGGGCTTACACTTTGGATCCTTGTGCCTTGGCTGTACAGAAACCTAGGGGCTCACAGGTGCCTCCCTATGCCAAGTTTGAAGTCCTTACTTTTGTTCATGACATTATGACATCACCACATGGTGACAATACTATTTTTATTAATTGACATAACCTTCTTTGGCTTTAACATCTAAAACCAGTGCTGTAGGCGGAGTCTCCCAGCACCACAAATCATAAGGCCATCCTCACCTTTTCAAGCTGGTCCTTATATCTTCCTTCCTGTCTTTGCTTTTTTTTTTTATCTGTTTTGTTGCATTTTTTTCAGGGCTGGGGATGCAACCCAGGGCTTCACACAAGCTAAGCAAACTCCTTTCCCAGGAGCTACACACTCAGGCTCAGATGGTTTTCAACAATTTCTCATTAAAATAAACATGGTCTCTGAAGTCAGCAAGACATTGACTTTGATCCCAGCTTTGTTATTTCATAGCTAAGGAAACTGAGGCAAATCAACACTTTAAGCCTTGGCTACATACAGTGATAAACTTAGAAACACAGCTAATGCTTTCCTAGCAACACGGCAGTAGAAATCCAGCACATCCTTAATAACATGCCCAAGACACGCTAAGCCCCTGATCTGTAAAGATTACTCCGAGCCCACTCCCTGACCCTCTGGGCCCACAACACCATGCATGGGCAAACTGAAGCAGGAGCACTTCCTGTTGTGCCCAGGTTCATAGCCAACAACGCAGTGGCCCTGGAGCGACAAGTGCACAGGCAAGAGCTGCCACAGGTCATGTCCTCCTGCACTAGCAACATGAGGCAAGGACGCTTCCTCCCCTGCCCCCAGCCAGTGCTCACCCTGGGTTACAGGGACACCAGATCGCTCACCCTGGGTCACAGGGACACCAGACCCCTGGGGACACCTACTTCTGACGAAAGATGCTGTTGGCCTCCAGCTCCGCCTCTTCTCTAGTCTTCTCCAGGCCCCTGCCCTGCAGCCGCTGCGCCCTCTCCTCGGGACTCACGGTGAGCAGCACCACCAGGTCAGGCCTGAGCAGGTCCTGGGGCCACTGATACACAGGGTGGTGGGCTGGGGGCAGGTGCTGTGGACCCCCACTCACCTCAGTGGCAATGGCATAAGTCGCCGTACTGTGCCAGTACCTGGGAAACAGGAAAAAGCAGTGAAATCTCTTCCCAGGGTGAAGTCATCACAAACAACTTAAAAGTGAAAATAAACGACAGTGATGAGCAGACTTAGCCCAACACTGTATCTAAATCAAAGCTGCTGTGCACGGTGAGATGGGACTTCAGCAGCATTTTGGTGACACTTTGCTGTTTGTGTAGATGACATAGGGAGGGAGCCACACATCTGTCTGGCACTTCCTTTGAGCTTAATACTGGGTCTTGACCTAGTAAAAGCTGGGCCTTCCACAGGAGGTTCACCTAGAGGGAGGGACATGGCTAGAAGACCCTTTGTGGATCTCAGGCACGGAGAAGCCCTCTACCATATGCAACTTCAGGAACAGAAAATCAATCATAAACAAAAGTTACACCAGTCACTACTCCAAGACATCCAGTGCTTTTCTGCTTTTTCACTCTGTTTAGGGAAAAGTTCAGCTTCCTTGGAAGAAGCAAAAGATCCTTCCAGCCAAGACCAGCACTGCGTTCACACCCACTTCCCCAGCGAGCGACTGACTCAGCCCTAGACTTCCCTCCTCTGCCTTCCCAGTAGAACCCCCAGCAAGAAAAGCAGGGTCCACAGTGCTCTCCTTGCCCCTTGTGAGACCCACCAACCTTCTAATTGGAGGGGACCAGTCAGGTATTACATCTTTTCTCTCCACCCTCAGTTCCTCAATTGGAAGTATTTTCTTCCTTCCTTCCTTTCCTTTTCTTTTTTTTTTTTTTTTTTTTTTTTTTGGTGGTACGGGGATTGAACTCAGGACCTTTCACTTTCCAGGCAGGTGCTTATTCTACTGAGCTATCTCCTTGGACTGCTGGTGGTATTTTCTAGTCATGTCTAAAAACCACCTCTGTCGCAAAAAGCACTATGCATCAAGGGTTCCTTGGACCCACAAATCCATCTCTGAACAAATGCAAACCATTTTATCATGCCCAACTTTAATTAAATGCAAAAACTTCAGATCTGATATCAAAGGATTACATTTTGTAACAAATGCTTAAAATATAAGGGCTGGTGAGATAGCTCAGCAGACTAAGCGCCTGCTTAGGCAAAAAGAGGGACCAGGGTTTGATACTGGTTCCCACATGCTGTAACAGCCCCATCCCCAGGATGCACTGAGCCAGGGAATGAGTCTGGGAGTGGTGATACACACCCATAATCCCAGCACTGGGGAGGCTGAAAACAGGAGGATCACTATGAGTCAGCTGCGTGATGAGACCCTCTACAAAATACATAAATGAAAAAAAAAGAATAAAAACAGGGCCCTCAACCTCCATTAGGGTAGAGGTTACCTGGGTGTGTCCACCTGAAATTTTTTAAGATTTACATACACGATTAACATTCTTCCAAGTAGAGGCCTTCCTTAATTACAGCTGCTTACCTTTGGAAAAATAAGCACAATTGACACTAAAGAAGCCCTCTAATCACCGTGTCAGGCACCGCTCTACCCACACACAGACAACTCATTTCAGTTGGGCGTTTCATGCCTGTACAGACTGCAGAACATCTTATTTGACGTATATTCTGCTGAACAGCTTTCTGCAACCTGACCTCACTCTGCATGATGGTTGCATCATTCGTACACACTTGTTTACACTGTGGCCCTGAGGTAGGAGATTAGGGATGGGCCAACCAGACCAACGACTGGGTGGAATGTGTTTGAAGTCATAAAAACACAGAGGACAGGCAGGGAACACAGGACCTAAGTTTACTCCAGGGTTCCTGAACACTGTACAGGAACCAATCTGAATGCAACTTCTTCAGTCACTCATTTGAAGCTGGTGCTATTTGCAGGGCCAATCGGAGCATGCTCTTCTCAATCCTTTATTTGCGTATGGACACATAACCAATCAAATGACACTGTTCCTGGTCCTTCCTTTGCATCTGTGGGAAGCCAGTGAGTCCTCCCATAAAGCAGTTTAAATCTGGAGCCACTGGCAAGTGAGGTTTTGATAAGATGACTGTCTCAGATGACTTAATTGTATATGGAGGGAGCCAATCCAGGAATTTTGCATACAAAAGACCCCTTTCCCTTATCCTGGGGGCCACTGTGAGCCTGCTCAGCAGCCCACTCTTGCCCCATCAGTGTCCTTCTTCTCCACCTTCAGTAAATGTGAACCCTTGCTGTCTTCTCTGTGCGCCTTGTCCAAGTCTTTGTTTAGGACACCATGCACCTGGAAAGAAGCCCCAGGAAACCACCCGTCCAGTGACAGACTTGCGCTCCATTTCTAATTACACCAGTGTGTGCTTTTCAGCTGCGGATAGGCTTTTGGTTCCTCAAAGGCATCCCCTGCTACAAGCCAACTGTAATAAACTTTGGCAAGTGTTTCTAAGGTGAACAGAAGGCCCTTTGCTTGGCTACACCTTACGTTCACTCTGTAAGCGGCCAGCCAGGGCCCCCACCAGCCCACAGGGGAGCTCCTGTGAACCCTGACTGTCTCCAACCCTGGACTTCAGGAAATTCTGCTCAGCGCTCTTTCACCTCATGGGAGCAAAAAGGAATCTTGTGGCAATTTCTGTATACCTGAGACATGGGGATTTTGAGCTCAGTTAAAATGGAATTGCACTGTGGTCATCCCTTCTGTATTCCTGGTTTTGACCTCAGTGTACCTCCTTTTTTATTCTGCAATTCAAGCTACTGTATTTCCCATGTGGCTCCTCTGACCTCCTACAACAGCTCCCCAATGCATTCCCCAGATAATGCCCTCCTCCTTGTGGCTCCAGGGCCCCATGCTCCCCTTCCCACTCCTCCAGGGAGCACAGCATCAGCCATGTTGGTCACCCTCTAGCCCCTGAGTCCCTAAGCAGCCGTTCATCTCCAGCCTTGCTCTTGGCAGACCCTTCTCTCTAGAATGTGTTCTCTCTCCCTGGAATTTTCGTTTTTCTTTTTTTTTTTTTTTTTTTTTTGGTGGAACGGGGATTGAACTCAGGCCCTTGCGCTTGCCGGGGAAGCGTTTATTCTACTGAGCCATCTCCCTGGCCCCACTCCCTGGGATTTTCAAAACTGGTTCTTCTGGGGCTGAGTCCAGGCTCAGAGCCTGCTCAGGGAGGCCCCATGGTCCTATCTGACTGCTGCGGAAGTTTAGCCATTGTCTCACCTATGGCCTTTAGGATTCCCCAACATCATCTCATGGATTTGCTGTTAGCGTCTCCTGCATGGTCAGCGTGCTCCACAAATGCAAGAAATGGTCCAACTTACTAACCTCTGATTTCCCTGAACCAAGGAAAATCTGACACACATTCGATATCCAAAAAAGTTTGTCAAATGAACCAATGAACAGACAAGTCACTGAAAATGCAAATTTGCAAGGCAGGCTTTCATTAACACCCCCAGGACAGTACATTATTTTAAGTTTGGTCACTGGCAATGCATTCAACCTTTATAAGATCTCCATTTATTGCGGGTAAATTGGAGATAACTTTTTTTTTTTGGCAGAACCAGTGATTGAACTCAGGACCTTGTGCTTGCCAGGCAAGCACTTATTCTACTGAGCCATCTCCCTGGCGCCAGGAGATAACTTTTAATACTTACCTACCCAACTTATTATTATGGATATTAATATAATGCTGTGATATTCTCAACAAAATACCAAGTATAGTAATTAATAAACTGCAAGGTATAGCTAATCAACAAATACCACAGATCCCTATTATTATCATATTGATAGACTTAATAACTGCAATTGTACATTTGCATATATTTTACACACACACACAGAGGTACATACACTTCTATGTTATTTAGAAAATACCTGGTGCGAGCGTGTCTTTACCTACCTGTCCACAATCACAGGCGACCTGGCGGACAATTCAGCTATTTCAGAAGCCACAATGTAATTGCCCAGAGAATAAAAAGCTCTCCTGATGATATTTGGCTCATCGTCGAAGATTTTCCTCCAGTGGCCAAGGGAAGGAGGGGGCGACTGTAGGAGCACAGCGCCAAGCGCCTCAGAGATGGACCGCGTCACTGTGGTTTTACCTGCGGGTTACACACAAGAGTGTGTGAGACTCAGTCTCCACCCCTAGTGCACGCAGCAGTTCATATTAGTTTAGAAAAAGCAAACACTTGCTTTCAACCGCTCACTCACGGATGTTTACACGATAAGCTCTTTTATAGAAAGCTGCAGACCCAGGGGAATTTAGGAGGCTTCTATTTGTTGCTAGAACATTCGGAAAGGAAACAAAATATTCAGTCTTCCCCAGAATCCTCTTGACGGGCTTCTGAAGCACTTTTTTATTTGTACTTCTTTATTCTCTCACTCGGTTTCCAAGACTGTATCACCAACAGGACATTTCGTTTATCCTGTTCTCTTGAGTTAAGATGGATTCTCACCCTAGTGACCATTTCTCAATCTGTACTACAAACCATGCACTCAGCCTGGCGCCTTCAGTCCTCCCGAAGACCCTGCAAAGTAGCAGAGTAGCTATCATTTAATCACCGCACCACTGAAGAAATTCAGCAGCAGAAAAGGTAATAGATTGACCCAAGCTCACCCTGCTGATGGGCCTGGATGAGGGTGCAAACATGGCACCTGGAATACAGTATTCTCATTGTGAATTTTGCAAGCATGCACACACAGGTTGGAGTAAAATGTCTGCATCTTCTGTAATCCAGAACACCTAAATTTGCTCCTGCTCAAACTGAATGATCAATGAAAATCTCACGAAGCTGTTACAATTCTCTCTGTGGCTATAAACACAACTAGGCCTGGGCCAGGGCATGGCTTATTGAAGGAGGCCTATTCTCTGACCTGACGTCTCAGATGCAGCCACAAAAGCCAAAACTGCCACCTGCCTGGGCCTCAGTCTACCTCGACGTGACACAAGGGCCCCACACGGAGACTACCTCTGTGTGACTCAGAAACCTGTCTCCTCAAGTTGACAGAGAAAGGAGATGCCCTACTGTTCCCCAAGATGGGTCTTCTCCTAGTCCTCTCTGGCCTTGGGGGCAGGGCTCCCCCTTTTTGTGTGTCCTAGTGTGCTATACGCTCAGCAAGCACAGGCCTGCTGTGACCTGATAGGTCTTTGGTGTTTTTTAAAGACTTTTTTGTTCCATGGTTTAGACCTAAAACGTCCCTCCAAAATCTCAGCTGTTAGGGCAGGCCAGAGAGCTCAATGGACAGGGACCAGGGTTCAATCCCCAGCATGCCATGCTGGCTCCAGCCCTGAGGCATGCTGAGACGGTGATTGAGACTGGGCGTAGTGGCATGTGCCTGTAATCCCAGCGCTTGGGAGGCTGAAAATAGGAGGATCACTACAAGTCTGATCTGTGTAGTGAGACGCTATAGACCGTGACCTAAATACATTTTTTAAAAATATCTGAGCTGTTTAGAAGTTCATCAGATCATGTGGCACTGTGGACTCATCCATAGAAAGTCTGTGGCTGAATGTGCTGGAGGCGGCCACTGAGGTGGGACCCAGTGGGGTGCATTCTTGTCCTTGGTTCCTTCCTTCTCTCTGTGCTCCACGGCTGCCAAACCTGGAGCAGGAGTTTTTTTTTTTTTTTTCGTCCAAGAGAAGCCCTCCACACCGTGCATGGTTCCGGGACACATCACACTGGTTCACAGGCCTGCACGTTGGCCCAGGCCATTTCTTCCACTTGAAGCACCCCTACCTCTTCTCTCAGTCCCAGCCCACTCTTACACCACCCTCCCTGCCCCAGCTCCCTGTAAAGGCCAGGCTTGGTCTCCATCCTGAGCTTAGCAAATGGTGTCTTGGCCCTCCCCCACCTCACCCTGCCCCATGCCATAGGCTGTACTCGTCCCTGAAGCCTACCGTGGCCCAGCACAGTGCTGCTACACAGGACAGGCCACTGGCATGCAGCACAGATTTTTGTTGTACAAGAGCCACTCCCACTTCTGCCACTCTTCAGTTCACGCCACTGCCCGCAGTTCCAAAGCAATGGCTCTTACCAGTGGCATCCAGTCCTTCAATGACGATGACAGGAAACTCTCCTTTCTGCACCTGCTTTGGACACTGATCAACCAGGTTGAGTACTGCTTGGGCTTCCGGAATAAAGGGAGTACACTGAAACCAAGAGGACCCCCATCAGCCAAAAAGCACTGGAGTGTTTGCAGAAAATGTCTCCAATTTGAACAGTGCTAGCAAGGCCTAAGCTAAACTAAGCAGAACGCAGCAAACTTTTCTCAGTATGGATTCAGAATTTTTTTGGTTTGTCTGTTTGTTTTAAGAAAAAAAACAAAATTTTATAGCAAAATAGTAAGAGTAACAAGAGTTAAGGTACTGTGTATTATAATCTTACTCAGAACATACATTATACACAAAATGACTTAACAATAAGAAACAAACACATAATAGCACAAAACTTTCTTTTCCATGAACTAAGGAAAACTAGTAGTATAAATGAAACAAAATGGTAAAAGAAAAATAAAAATATATATATATAGCATAGGTAATTTGGAGAATTAAATTTCTCCCTATGTCCTATTTGATGATAGATGGATACATGACAGATATTTGAGTTTGTCATATAAGAGAAACCATGTGATATTTGTCCTCTGTGTCTGACTTATTTTAAGTAACCAGTGCCCTGTTGCCTATGAATTCCTTGAATCTGTCTGTCTTTCTTTTTCTTTTTTTTATCAGTACCAGAAATCAAACTCAGGACTTCGCGCATGCCAGGCAGGCACTTATGCTGCTGAGCAGTCTCTCTGGCCCTCTTCTTTTATTTGATAACAAGTAGCAGAGGTTCAAAAGGGCTGCAGATACCTAGATTACACTGGCTGCATCCCACCACATACAGCTTCCCCTTCAGAAGCAAAGTAGGACAGTGACATGCAGTTACCATGAACCTCAGGCCCTGCTCTGAACAGAGTTTGTACGGATATGGAAATAAGCTACCTCCTGGATTTATTATTTAGGGTTTTTTTTACTTTGTTAATTAATTTATTGATTAACTGCAGTATTGGGGATTGAACCAAGAGTCTTTGCACTGCGTGCCATCCCTAGGTTTTTATGCTCATATTATATTTTATTTTGAAACTAGGTCTCCTTAAGTTGCTAAGTTGCTCCAGCTGGGCTCCCACTTGCAGCCTTCTAGCCTCAGCATCCAGGAGTGCTGAGTTTGCAAGCCTGTACGCACACACTCAGCTGCACCAAGGGCTTTGGCCTCAGCCATCTGCATTTGCACCATGCTGCTAACGGCTCAGGGAACCCAGGACAGTGGCAAAGTTGGCAGGGCAGGACCTGCCTGGAGTTTCAAAATCCTGCACTGCTCCTGACTCATCCATACCCACCCCACCTCCACCTACAGCACAGATCCTGAGACTTCCGTAGGGATGGCTACGAGCATCAGCGCTTCCCAAGTACTCAAGTGCCACTCTCTCAGCACCCTGGAGGTGGTACTCCTCTTGTTCCCATTTGACAAAAGAAGGATTCAGAGCCAGCGTGGTCTGCACACCTGCAATCCTAGCACTCGAGGCTGGAAAATCAACATGAGATCAAGGCCAGCCTACACTTCACAGCAAGAGCCTGTCTGATGATGAGGAAAAAAAAAAAGTCATGGAAACTAGCTCAAGGTGGACAATTAATGAATGAATGAGATCGAATCCAAGCTGACGTGGCTGGTTTTGCACTCTGACCCACTCCACAACGCTGGGGCACAGGTCTGCAAAGTCCATGATAAAGGTGCCCAGCCTTCAGGCCATAACCCTTGCCTAAGGTCAGGAGGCAAAGTCATAGTTTCTTTTCCTGAGCACCTGCTTGATGACTCACTGGCTTTATGAATCATCCAAACATTGCTGCAAAGTCAGTGTTGTGTAGACAAAAGTTGGAAAAGTGGAAGTTGTCATGTGCCAGCTGCGGCCAGCAAGGAAGAGGGCTTAGATTTGAGCGCCCCAATCCGAGGATCGAAACCCCAAGCTCAAGGAGTTTGAGTTTGAGCAAGTTCCGCTTTTCCACAATCCGGCGGTTTCGTATTCTCCCAGCACATTTCCGGCTGGCTCTTTCTGGCATGACCTGGCTGGGCTTGGTGTTGGGGCGCCTCTACATCAGGCTGGAAGCTCTTCCCAGACCAGAACCCTCACACTAAGTGACTCAGAGCCCGGCATGCAGGATGCTTTCATCATCTGATTAGAGCGCAGGAATAAACAAACTGCCCCAGAATGTACTTGTATGTTTTCTGTTACTGAGCATTCACCCCAGGGCCTGTACATGACGCTCCATCCAAGCCCTATTAAAATTTTTCTTTGACGTTGAGACACGGTGTCCTTACATCACTACAGTGTCCAAGCCGTGCTCTAATTTGTGAACTTCTTGCCTCAGCCTTTCAGAGCCCAGTAAGGACAGCTCCCTCCAAGAATGCTTTTCAGAGGCCAGCCTGCCAGAGGGCAGATTGCTTGGTCCCTTTCTGGTCCGGGATGGGTGGCCCACACAGCATGCTTAAAGGAAAGCTCTTACCTCCTCCAAAACAGCACGGGCGGCGTACTGGCCCGGGAAGACCGCGGAATTGGGCAGGTCTGGCACCACCGGGTGTAGAGGGGGCTCCGGAAGTGGAACCACGCGTGCGCAGCTCACCTGCCTTTGCGCGCCCCCTCGCAACTCCCAGAGCCGCAGCCACAGCGCGCCGCTCGAGTCTGTCTCGAACTCTCCCAGGTGCGGGCGTGCGAGCTCGGGGCAGGCTAGGAGGACCTCGAGCAGCGCGCGCCGTGTGTCCGGGCCCGCACGGGGGTCGCGCAGCAGGAAGCCGTGCTGGGCGCCAGCGGCCGGTTCTCCCGGGCTGTAGCCAAGCAGCCTGCGCAGCTGGCACTGGTGGAAGGGCTGCAGGTTGCGCAGCTGGAGCTGCAGATGCTGGTGCACGCGCGCCGCCCGTACGCGCGCTCCGCAATCGCCCCCCGTGACCGCGGGCGCGCACAGCGCGAAGCTACGCCCGGGAGACCCCAGTAGTGCGGATAGACGCTGGTCTGGGTGCGCGCCCGCAGCCTCCGCGTCTCCCAGGGCGAAGTGAGCCAGGCTGCAGTCTGGAAGCTCCAACGCGAAGCGGCGCGGCGGAGCCATGGCGGGGACGCAGGTCCCGATCCGCCTCCACCGCGGGCCCTGCAGGCGCCTTAGCTGCCCGGGCCAGCGCGGGCGGATCCCCAAAGCCATGAGCGCTCCGGTGTCCCCGCCCTCCGCCGCGCCGGTGAAACGAAACCGAAGGAAGGCTCAGGATAAGGCGATCTTGGGTGCTGGGCTCCTTCCCGGCCCTACTCTCGCCAGGCCTGCGCGGAAACTGCCGCGCTCAGCCCTGGGGTTTGTGCGTTGCCGACGGATTAAGTCCCCCGGGGCGGCGGCCTCCCAGTCAGGGCGTCCTCTTGGCCGCTACTGCCGCCCTGGGAGTTCACAGAGGCTCGGGACTGAGCACCGCCAGTGGCCACTGCCCCTGCCCCTTTGGGTGACCAGTGCATGGGGTGGTGTGGGGAGAGAGGTCGGTTTCCTAGCGCTAGTTTAACCCTATCTAGGGCTTTCCTAGGCTGGGCGCTTCCGGCCACCTCCCCTCCCCCACTCGCCTTGCTGGGCTCCTTTTCCCGCCTCGACCAGAAGCGCCCCCTTGAGACGGTCTTCCCTTGTCTCACATCTGCTCACTCCAACTGACAAGTGTTGCCTCCGGTGGGCGTTTGAAAACTGTCTTTTATACCTCCGATTAACGTCTCCTGCACCCTGATAATGACAGCCCCTGCGCCTTCCTGAATAGTGTGAGACTTCAGTCTCAATGCCGTGTTAAAGGGATTGTCACTCGACATAGGGATGCATGCCTGTAATCCCAGCTCTTGTGGGAGGCTGAGGCAGGAGGATCACAAGTTCAAATCTAGGCTAGAAAAGTTAGCAACTTAGCAAGACCCTGGCTCAAGATAAATAATAATAATAATAATAATAATAATAATAATAATAGTAATTAGAAATGGACTGGGGTTGTAGCTCAATACGAAGGCCCTGAGTTCAATGTTTGGTAGCAATATGTAAATAAATAATAAAATGAAATAAAAGTGATTGTCCTGTCAGGGATGGAGCTGAGTGGTGGGAGATGTGTGTTTAAGTCGCATGTGTGAGACCCTGGTTCTCCCCAGCATGGCCGCATATGCATGTAGAATGAACGAAATTGTAAACCTGCCCCATAAGAAGTTCTTCAATAAATAGCAGCACGATGTTGACAGGGGAAGCCTCGCGGGAACCGTGGGCCGCCATGGGTGTGGCCTGGAGTGGCATCTCTCTTCCCTTTTTGCTTGATGGCTCCGTGCTTCTCACCGCCCTGCCCTGCGTGGACCGGTTTTCCTCGGCCGAGCTGCCCTGCCTGGGAACCAGATGATTATGCGCTGCGCTCTCTACAAACTGCCACACAAAATAAACCTCTCCTCTTTTAGCTCTTGGGTAGTAAATATTTTGTTCCAACAATGAGAAAGTAAGACAGGGTGAAAAAAATATACACAAAAGGGGAGATTTATATATAAAACAGATTCATTTGTAAAAAAAACTACCGAAATGGTCATATTTTAGGTAGTCTATGAAGTTGGAAGAAAGGAAAAGGAAAATAAGAATACTGAGAATAGAAACTGCTTTTTCAAGTAAAAGGACCTACCAAAGAGAAAATATTCACTCAATTTTACATGAACAGATTTGAGCATCATAAGATAAAAGAGAGGCTCAGAAAATATGAATTAAGGAAGGATAAGCAAGAAAAAAAGGGGATTTAAAAAAAAAAAAAAAAAACTCAATCCCAGGAAAGAAGTTGGTGAGAAGTTAGAAAAGCAGTAAATACATAGGATCAGATAGATCCTCTCTTGCATAAACCATGTGTTGCTTTCTCTTTTGCAAGTTGCCAACTTTTGGAGCATGTGGTGTACGCTTTCCCTTTAAGAGATGAAATTTATGCAGCAACCTGTAAAGAAATTTCAACCACCAGATTCTTGATCTCATTCTTTGTCTCCACGGGACCTCAGGACCTTGGGACCTCGTAGGCAGGATTGAGCCCTGCCCACACCCTGGAAAATCTGATTCCCTCTGGAGGTATCCTTCTGATGATTGCAGACTGTGATCCTTAGCACCTTGCCCTGTCACTGTGGCAAGTACAAGCTAGGGGCACGCGCCCCATTTGTTCCTGCAGCCTGGGGTTGATTAGCATGGCTGGATGCATAGCAGCACAGGCATTTGTGGCCAGGCCTCCAAAGGACTCTGAACCTTGAGTGTCCAGCATGTCTCCCAGTTAGTAACCCTGCACCTGTCCTTAAGGCCACTGCTGGAAAGTGCTCCTGGTGGCCCCCAGGTAGGGCAGGCCACTGAGCCCAGGCCCACCTCTCCAGTCTCTGTTTGCCAGGAACCTTTTCCTTCCCTACATCCTTTTGCCAAAATGCACCCTAGCTGGGAGTCTCGTGAGGCCTCGGTGTCTCTGGGTAAGTCAGCATGCTTTTCAGGCTGGTCTTGAGACTTTAAAGCACATCTCCAAGTACACACATAAAAGAATGGAAAAGAAATAAATGTGCCAAGAAAGGAGTACTATCATTTTAAAGAACTGTTGCATTTTATTTCACCCATTTAGACACACAACACTCACACACACACACACACACACACACACACACACACACACACAGTGTTTTAGAAAAGAAAGCCAAAGAGCTAAAGAAGATGTTCATTTAGGCTGGAGCAGGAACATCACTTCCAGGCAAGCCTGGAGTACATCCAGAGCTCAAGACCAGCCTACCTAGGGAGACTGCCTCAAAAACACAAAAAGGTGTTTGCAGCACATGTAACCAAATGCACAATGCACAATGAATTCCAACGATCTACAACACAATGAAGACAATCCCATACAAACATGGGCAAATGATTTGAACCAGCACATTGCAAAACACTAACCACATAGTTCACAAAACATATAAAAAGGTGGTGGGTAATCATGTAACTCTCCAGGAAACTGCAAAATCAACACAAGGAGGCATGTGACCCTATGCTTGTGGCTAGGGTGAACCAAAATGAATAACAATGACAACAACAAGTGAAAGGTTAAATTTGAGTGACCTGAGTCCTGATACTTTTCATTGCTTTTGAAAAACCATTTGGAGATAAGCACCTCAGGGGAGTGCATATGTCCCCTATCAATCAGGGATTCCACTAAGAAACTTTCCTCCACTAAGTGGTTTTTGCACACCCCAAAATGCATTTCACACAAGAGGCATAGATATGTGGACCCAAAGTTGTGTGTGAAATTTTTAGCCCATGCCAAATCTCCATCCTAACAGAATGAAGACTTGTGCTCACCTTATGCAATGGCGTACTATGCAGCTACAGAAATGAGCCAATCATTGTTAAACAAATCATAGCTAATGACATAACATTGAGCCGAAGAACTAGACACAGAAAAATATATAACATGTGATCCTAGATACAGCCCTTCAGTCATCCAACCTAGAGCAATTAAAAAAAAAAAAAAAAAAAGGGCAAGTGGCCTGGAAGATAGCTCAGTGGCACAGTACCTGCCTGGCAAGGCAATCATGAGGTGCTGAGTTCAATTTCTGGTACAAAAAAGAAAAAAGAGGGCAGGTTACCTTCCAGCAGAGGAAAGTTGCCTGAGGAAGAAACATGGAAACTTCAAGGCCTTATTAAACTTGTTTCTTAGTAGTTAGGCAAGGACAGTGCATGTCCTTTCCGCGAACATTCCCTGGGCCTTGTTGTTGTCAACAGAGGATTTCTCCTTCTATTAGTTACACTTGGAGAAAAGGTTTCCCCTGGAAAAAATAGGATGATTGCAACAAGGGAATGGACCCCAGTGTCCACTAGATATGGCAACCCCCCTTCAAGCAGGATCTTCATCCGGGCCTATGGAGAATATCACAGCCACACAAGTGTGAAAGGGAATGGTCCCTGCTACAGACCCATGGGTGACATTTGACTGTTATTCAGTTGTTTTTTGAATTCGTTTAAAGGTGATCAGCTATCCAGTGATAAGAGCTTTGACCTCACCCCTAGCTTGCATCCATGTTGGGGGAGGCGTTGCAAGCCATGATTTGGGAAGGACCTCTTTCCCCCGAGGTTCCTTCTGTGCACAATCCAGCAAGCTCAGTGAAGAGCAGTCCTGAAAGTCTACTGAAAACAAACTTCCTTAATCTCAGCACTCTAGGAAGCTGAGGCAGCTTGAACCCACCTAGGCAACTTAGTGACTTAGTGAGATCCTGTCTCAAAATAAACCAGTAAATAAAAATATAAAGTGCTGGGGATATAGCTCAGTGTGAGGCTGGGGGCTCAATCTACAGTACTGAAAAAGCTAAGAAGAAAAAGGAGAGTTGAAAGAGGAGGAGGAGATGGAGAAGAGAAAGAAGAAAAGCAGCAGGAAGATAAGTGAGGAGAAGAGGAAATGATGGAGGAAGAGGAAGAAGGAAAGGAAAGAAGAAAAAGAAGAAGGCCAAGTTCTTAGAACTAAAATCCATACCTAAGGCTACACCGTGTCTGCTGTATATAAATCAACATGCGCAGAGAGGGTCTGTGCCATGCCTCCTCTTGTGGTTGAATGTGTGGGGAAAAAGAAATGGGGGAGGCATCCTGTGTTCATGGAGTAGCAAACTGACCACCATTTTCGTGAGCTGAGATAGTATGATTTCAGCTCACCTATTCATGCTTCTCACTTCATATTTTCATCTAACAGATACGAAGCTTTCTTTCAATAAATACTTGCCAAAAAGAAGAAGGAAAAGAAAGCATTTCTGAATAGGTGAATGAATGGGTGAACTCAGGACTGGTTAGAAGAAAGTGGTCCTGGTAGCGTGGCTTGTGTGGAAACAGTGAAGTAACATGGTGATAATGATCGGTTATGGAGGAGGCTTACAAATGTCTGCATTTCAGGGCCAGCCAGATAGTTCAGTGACGAAAGTGCCTGCTTAGGCAGAGCGCAGCAGCCGGGGTTCAATCCCAGCATGCTGTGCCACCCCAGCCCCCAGGGTGATTGAGACTTGGCATGGTACACGCGCCTGTAATCCCAGTGTTTGGGAGGCTGAAAAGAGGAGAATCACTACAAGTCCAATCTACATAGTGAGGCCCTGTAGTCCCTGTCCTAAAATAAAAATTAAAAAAGAAAAATAAATAAAAGAAACAAATATCTGCATTTCAATTCATCCTCTACTCTCTGCGCTATGCTATTGTCATTATGATAAATTAGCACATGACAGAAGCATACACGTTCTGAGTTTTAGTTTTTGCAGACAGGGTCTTGCTCTGTACTTCAAGCTGACCCTGAACTCACTAAGAAGCCCAAGCTCAGCTTGAATTTACAGCAATTTTGCATCGGCCTCCAGCGTGCTGGGCTTATGGGTATGCATCACCGTACTTGGCTCTACATGAGATATTTCTAATACTTGCTATGCCAGACACTGCCCTCAGTGCCTAATCTACATCAAGTCATTTAATCTTCAAAATACCCCATATGAGTTACTTTCCATATTTTCCAGACATATCAGCAACAATGAACAGGTACTGAACTTCACCCAATATTATGCACTTCCTTCTCATTCACAAGATTTCAAGGACTTCGACCTGTGTATGGTTGCATAATTGGCGGCCATTAAACATTTGCCTGTTATTTTGCAGAAATTAATTTCAGTTTCCCCAGTGCAGGAACCTGAGTAGTTTCGGTTTCCATTCACAAAAACAATAGCTAAAGCTTGCAGAATACTGCTGGTTGTCCATCAGCAGCTCCACAGATTTGCCTCTGTAATCACAATAGTTCTTACTCCTGCACAGATTGCAGGCGATGGTTCTGCCGACAAGGAAGTGGAGATTACGCAGCGGCTAAATCCTAAACTGAGTTCCTGACTCTGTGGGTTTTCCACTAATGTTTGTTTTCTCTTCGCTGGTAAACTAAACAACTAATTTGAAGATAACATCATGTAATACAGCAACCATTGCTGAATTCCTATGACTTTGTTTAATGAAATTTTGTACTGTTTCTAATGACCTTTTTAAAAAATATTTTATATTCTTTAGAAAAAATTTATCTTTAAGATGCCCGACGTTACCCTCAGGCTCTACCCCTCATCCTGATTAATGAAGAGTTTCGTGAGAGTCCACAGGGCTCCCTAAGGATCCTCTGAAACGTGACAGGCTGCAGGCATGGTCACCATTTAGGAAGCAGCTTAGAAAAGCACCTGATACTCCTAGGTAAAACTATGGGTTAAAACTGAAGTCAAGGGGCCATGGAGATGACTCAGTAGAATAAGCACTTCCCTGGCAAGTGCAAGGGCCTGAGTTCAATCCCCAGTTCCTCAAAAAAAAAAAAAAAAAAAAAAAAAAAAAAAAAAAAAAAAAAAAAAAAAAAAAAAACCTGAAGTCAAAATGCAGCAAAATATGAATGTCCACACTTTAACTCTACCACAAAGCACAAGCTAAAGTAAGTAGCTGAAGAAGGATGACGCTGTCAAGCTATGTGCCTATGTTCTTACCGCCACGTAAAAGGAACCCTGAGCTTCATGGGTCCACAAGCAGTATTTGTTTTTTAAGCAATTCTTTTATTATGTGGCTTACAAAGCTGCACCATGGCACTGGCCATGGTCTTCAGGACTGAGCTCTTGAACCAATTCCATCTTTTGACTAACATTTCTGTACATCTTCCCTGGTAGCTGATTTGTACTTCAATGAGTGGAACTGAGAGCTCACAGTGTCCCTGAAGAAGCAGAAGTGCTGCCTGTATTAACATTGGTGTATGAGGGGTCAAGGATAAGCCTCACCATGGTGCCTGCAGTATCAAGCCTGGAGAATGCTCAGTGGCAGCTCACGGTGGAAAGCTGGAGGACTCAGCTGAGGGCCGAAAGCCTCAGCTCCCGGCCGAGTCCGCTTAATCCCTCCAGGAAAACCAAAGGGGCTACTGTGGAGACTGAGAGTCTATACTGAGGGGACTGTAGCAAAAGTCCAAAAGTGACAGTGAGGAGCTGAGGTCTTTCAAAGAAACAGCAAGGGGAAACTTCCGCTTCTTTCCCTTTTTATTTCCTCCAAGCTTCAAGCCGATTGGTCGGTGCCACCCACATCCAGAGTGGGTCCTCCCTTTTCAAGTCAAGCATCTGCTAGATGTTCATTATTTAAATTGACACCATGTCTGTTCTTCTGTGTCTGACTTATTTTGTCCTCTAGACCTACCCTTGTTGCTACAAATGACAGGCTCTGTCTTCTATATGTATTTCCTTTTTCTCCCCTATGAATCTGTGAGTGGACAGTAAAGATACTTCCCTGTTTTTTTTCTGTCATGAACATGCTACAATAAACGTAGGAGTGCCAAGTTCTCTTTGATGTACTGGTTGCATTTCCTTTTGATAAATACAAGGAATGAGACTGCTGGATCCTACGGCAGTTGTGTTTATATGACTTCCATAATAAACTTTCCCTGAGTACCCACTATGGGGAGGGGGATAGAAACCAGGCTGTCACGTGGCTAAACTACTTGGGCATCTGAAAACTGCAAACATCCAAGTGCTACAGTTTCAAAACTTTTTGAAAAATATTATGACACAAGGTACAACTTAGTTTCATGCAAAAAAATTATTAACAATGCTATAAGATATTACTGTCACCTATGTGCACATCATATATGTGAATGTGAAATATAAATGAATTTCCTGAATAAACTAGGCAATGACTCCAAAAATCTGAAAGAAAAAGCCCCAAATCTGAAACATGTTCGTCTAAAGCCTTTTGGATAAGGAATCCCAAACCTCGAAGGAAAGAAAGGTAGAGAGAGACCTTGGTGCCATCATATAGGAATGACTGTCACTTACGCAGGTGGGCAAGGCAAACCCCAGGTCAGATATAAACAGAGAAGTTGGCTCCTTTCCTGCCTTCAGTCTTGGCTGTATTCCAACTTTCATTTTCTAAGAGAAGAAAATCGAAACTCAGCTGAGCGTTAGTCAAAGGAGGTGTGTGTTTCCCTTCTCCCTCCCTGGGGCCAAGATGCCTGGAGGTGTGGCTGGTTTCCACTGTCATATAAGGCTCAGGGACAGCTTCAGGACACCAGTGTGGCCACCATGAGGATGCTGGCACCCACTGCTCTGGCTGGGTGGATGCTGAGTGTGTTCAGGCAGCCGCTGGGCTCTCTGTGGGGCAGCCTGGCCTCCCTGCTCTGCTGGCTGAAAGCAGCATTCTGGTGGCCAGCTGCAGAGAAGGGACAGCAGCAGGTTCCCAGGGGACTGGAAGAGAGCCAGGAGGCGGAGGAGGAGGTCTGTACGATTCCTACCAGTGTCAACTACCACTTCACTCGGCAGTGCAACTACAAGTGTGGGTTCTGCTTCCACACGGCCAAGACATCCTTCGTTCTGCCCCTGGAGGAAGCCAAGAGAGGGTTGCTTTTGCTCAAGGAAGCCGGTGAGTACTAGTCCCAAAAAGAAACTAGGCTGCTCAGCCACACAGGCTGGACAGCGCCTGTGGAGCCGAAGGCAGCTCCTCGTGGAAAGGTCCCCTGAAAGAGTAAGGTGGGTGTCACCCAGTATCCTGGGCCACAGCACTGGCTAGCATAGCCCTCCCTGCCTCCTGGGGCCCCAGGTCTGTTCCCACAGGAGCTCCGTGCCTCCCAGCCTTTGGAAACCCGATGCCATTGCTTCCCCAGTTTATCCAAACCACGAAGCAACTCGTGCTTTCCAGAAACATTTAATGAGGAAAGTTAAAGGCAAAATTTCTGGAGGAAGGTCAGCCACCTTGAAGGCTTTTAAGTTGGGTTGTGTGTATGCTTTTATTACAAAAAGAAAGAAAGAAAGAAAGAAAGAAAGAAAGAAAGAAAGAAAGAAAGAAAGAAAGAAAGAAAGAAAGAAGGAAAAGAAAAGAAAAGTGGGGTGTGTTGATGCATGCCTGCAATCCCAGCACTCAGGAGGCTGAAGCAGGAGGATGGCTGTGAATTTGAAACCAAATTTAGGCTATACAGTGAGACTCTGTCAAAACAAACAAAAACTGAGAAGTAGTTTTTGATAAATCATGAGAGATGTTGTTCTTAAGACTCGACTGCTAGATATCACCACATCAGTGACTCGCAGAAACCAGCAATGACAAAGGATGCAGCATTTTGCTCTTGAAGTCTACTCTTCCTTCCACCCATCGCCCTGCTACTGCCCTCTCTAGAGCCCTCTGCAACCTCCTATCTGCCTCTAATCTCACCAGTCAAGACAGCCGCTTGGTTATCACTGTGGTCCAGCTTCAGTTCCCAGCCTTTGTCTTCGGGGCTTTTGTCCTTCATCTATTGTCCTCTAATCTCCCAGGGGAAGCCACACTTCTAGATGAAACTGTAGCTTTTTAACTGATCTCATACTAACCTCTCTTGTGCATCTTAAAAACCAAAGTGATAAGGATTAGCCCTGAAGCTCACTGTTGTCCTCTGTCCTCAACTAGCTGCCCCAGAAAGTGGTTTGTCTGTTTTGCAAAGCTCCCATTGCCTCTCTGTTCCTTGTGACCGGAAAGAAAAATCTCTTGAGCCGAATGATGAATTACCCATGCTCAGGTGCATCCATTTTAAACTGCAATAAAGAAGAACAAGGACAACATCTTCCATTGATTTTGTTTCCACTTAGACTTTGAATTAATCTGTAGTTCTTCCCATAAAGTGCTCTTGACACTGAGAGCTAGTTAGAGAAGGAGAGAATAAAGAATGAAACAAAGTTTCATTTCATTTTTTATTTTCCGTGGAGGAAATAATACTTTTGTTATTGAAAGAAAAGGATGGCATGAGGAGTAGAGCACTTGTCTAGCCTGAGTATGGCACTGCAAATACTATGTAACTAAATAAAGTGAGAAAAATGGACACATGTGAAGTAGGAAATTTTGCTCCACCTCCTGCAGGTATGGAAAAGATCAACTTTTCTGGTGGAGAGCCGTTTCTCCAGGACCGAGGAGAATACCTGGGCAAGCTCGTGAAGTTTTGCAAAGCAGAGCTCGGTCTTCCCAGTGTCAGCATCGTGAGCAACGGCAGCTTGATCCGGGAGAGGTGGTTCCGGGACTATGGTACGTTTACCTGGAGGATGGCTTAACCACTGTTGCTAATTTGGTTGGTTCCTTTATTTCCTTCTATCCTCAGCCCTAAGCCTGACCTTCTGGGAAACTGGAAGAGAAACAAATCTTACTGATCACAATCCCCTCCCAAGCTGTACGTGGTACTAGGGTGGCAGTGACTGCGCAGGGCTCTAGGTAAACAAGCAGGGCCAGCTAGACAGGGAGGTGCTAGCAATCAGGACCACCACTCACTCACCTTCCAAATTAGCGAGGATTAAGACCTTCTCAGCCACTTCTGAGAAAAAAAAATCACACATTTCCTAGCTATGCAATAGAATTGTTGTGCTAAGCCTGCAGAAAACTCAAGCCATATCAGAAGATTTCTGTATATGGTTTGACCAACTTGGGCCTCCAAGGAAATTCTTTGTGTCACCAAGATTAAAGTCCACTGTGTCCTAAGACTGTGGAGATCCCTCACTACTCAGATCCACATATATATATATATATATATATATATATATATATATATATATATATATATATGCAACATCTGTAGAGCAGTACTTTGCACTTAGGAGTACAGAAAATATTTGCTAATAATTACATATTTTCTCTCATGTCTTGGAGATGGTTGTGATCTTCCTGTCACAGTACCATTCTCTTGTTTTGCTGAGCTCTTTGGATTTTAAGATCATTGCAAGGGAAGCTAGCAGCTCTCTTGATCTTTGGGGATGTCGAACAAAGGTCTCTGACCAGATTCTCCTCCCATAATGAGGTTGGGGGGTCTGCATGCAGCAGCCTGGCTGCCCAAAGGGAGGCAAGAAGACAGAATCAGTCTCATGGGAAGGTGAGCCAACAGGGACTGTGGTAGACCAGATATCCACGCAGGGAAAAACACTAAGAAAATCAGACCAGTTTGGAGACCAGTTTGGTGACAGAAAAGGTGTCTAGAAAGCAGGACGAGCAGGCACTGGGTGAGAGGAAGTTGAAGCACTCCTAATTAACAGTCACCCTGCAGGACAGCTCCACAGGCCTGTCCCTGACATGGGAGGAGTAGGGTAAGAGGACCCCTACCTTCAGGGCCAAGTGCTACAATGCGCGCTTGGGGGACAGCTGTGCCTTTGTGTGTCTGGAAGTGTGTAAGAAACCAAGCACCCCTGGTAGGGGGAAACTGTGTGGCTGTAGGGCATGAGAAGCACCAAGCCCTCTTTGTAGTGCTCAACTGGGAAGCCAATATTTTGATTTTTTTTTTTTTTTTTTTTTGGTGCTCTGGGGAAAGTTGCCAGATCCTTCCATTATTAGAAACACATAAAATATCTACACTGCATTTTCAATCTCCCAATTGAAGATAGTTGCAAGCAATCTGAATAGATTTAAAAGCTTGAGGAGCAAACACCATGTGTATATCTGCATCTCTGGACACTCCAACTTAAAAAGCTTGGTCTGTGTGCTCGGGGGATAAGGACAGCTGAACAGGGGCTGCTCCCTGCTCACCAAGGTTGGCTGTTTGCCAGGAAGCCTCCCGAGGCAGCATAGCCAGCAAGATTCATGGCAGGGCTTTATAAGAACACAGAACACAGTTCAAAAACCACAAGGTCAAGGCAAGCTGTGAGGCTATGACCAGACACAGTTTGCTCAGGAAGACTCAGTGGAGTCTTGGGGTACCGAGCTCTCATGGAGGGCTGAGTATCTGGGCATACACAAGGCATGGTAGCCTGGATCCCCAATATAACCAAGGACATCACAGATCTTGCTAAGCAATCTCACAGGTCTACTTGGTAAAACACACCCCACAGCCCCAGGAAGTGCTCTTACCAGGCAGAGACAGGGGGAAGTTTGCAGCAGCCTCTTAGGCGGGGATTGGAGAAGATGCTGTCACCCTTCCAGGATCTCTGGGGAAATGTAAGAAATGAGCAGGATGATCTGCTTTGTGAGGCCTTTCTTTCCAAAAGCCTCAAGCAGAGAGGCCAAGAACAGAGAGAGGACTCTCAGGGAATGCAGCAAAATGTGGCAAAATTCAGTGATTCACCTAGAAATTCTTAGATGACTTGGAAATCAATGATATGAACCTTTCTAAGAACTGAAAGGTTTTTACATGTTTGATTTTGAACTTTTATTTTATTTGGTTTTGATTAGAGACTATGTTCAGTCAGTTGCCTCTTTCCTGTGTGGTGCCCCTTTGGGAATTTATTTGAAATCAATTCCTAAAGCATTTGGAGATGCTAATTTAAGCCTCATTGATCACCTGATTCCGGCTAAAGTGTGCTAGACCTTTGCTAATTATGAGCAACAAAACATCAGGCCTAAAGGAGGAACTATAATAATTCTTTTCATAATATTTGGCAATAGTTACTTAAAGAGCTTTTGGAACCCTTAACATTTAGATTCTGAAAGTGTTTTAAGAAAACAGAGTCAACTTTGGAGCATTGAAACACGCAGAAAAGGTCAGTTTCAGCTCTACAAGGAGTGGCAGTCCCAGAGAATGCCTGCCCTTCTGAGATAAAGAGGGAGTTTGAGGCAGCTAACAAGATTAAGGGGGACCCAGGAAGGTCAGAGTGAAAACAATATGACAGAAATAGATGGAGAGGAATCCAAAGCCAAAATCATACGCAAGATCCGTACACCAGGAGGGACCTGCCATTGGCCCTAGCAAGGGGCTGTGGGCCAGGAAGAGCCTGTTCCTACCCTCGTTCCCACACCCAGCTTCCCTTTATTTCAATTTCTTCAGCATAGAACTTGGCTGCGCCTGTCATGTATGACACAGAGGCTTGCGAAATATTTAGATTGCCAATCTAACATAAAAGACCTGTGGAGATGAACCTAGCAAACTTGGCAAAAAGGAGAATATTAGGGCTCTTCTACTAAGCAACTTTAAGTATGTGATGGGAAAACAGAAGCTAATCAATACTTGCTCTTAGATACATCTAGAAGCCTCCCCAGATATCCATTCTTCAAAAATTATAAGAGAGTTCAAGTTAATTTATTCGTAGCATTGGGAATTGAAACCAGAGCCTTGTCACTGAGCTCTCCCCCACCCTTGCTTTGCTTCTTTTGAGACTCGCTAATTCCCTAAATTGCACAAACTGGCTCAATATACATCCTCATGACTTAGCCTCCCTGAGTGCTGAGATTGTAGGCACGCAATTTCTATGCAAGAATAAATGAAGAGGGCTTTGGGATATAGCTCAGTGGCACAACGCCTGCCCCGCAAGCTGAGGCTCTGAGTTCTATTCTGGGTACAAAAATAAATAAATAATAAA